ACTGGCAGTTGAATATTTGTCAGGCGGGAAAATAAATATCAAGAAGATGCGCAGTGACTGATCTGGTCTATACACATAAAATGCAAAAAGAATATAAAAATACAACTCAATAAAGAGCGGCAGGATATTATGAATAGGTATTTCCCAACATTTTTATGAGCAGAAAAGTACGCATAACTATACAATGAGTGATTACATATGGTTATGCTTATGTACTTTGCATAGTTACATTTGGTTTCCTGTGGCAACCTAAATAATACATTTTAATCAATAAAAAGAAAAAATGGCACATGCCTGAAGAAATTAATTTAAAAAATAAATTGCCAACAGCTGAAAACTAAATCAACTTAAAAGAAAGTGACAAGCTACAAAATAGATCGAGGTGAACAAATCAGGAAAACAGCCAAACAACACATTGGAAAAAAAGAACGTGAATATATTTTTAAGGAATGCAAAATTAAACCTGGGTTTTTTAACACTGTTTTCATTTCATAATCATGGGGCCTGCCAGGAGTAGTGACATCCTTCTCATGGTAATAGAAATTCACAGCATCCTTTCTCTGTCTTTTCTAAGGTGGCTTTGAAAGTTTCATAGTCTGCAAAATTTACTGGGAAACATGAAATATTGAAACAGGACGTTGCTTTGGGGTATTCTCCAGCGATGAATCCGATTCCAGGTTCGTCCGAATATGATATCGCAGGTAATGCGGTGGACCCTGTTGCAAACGCCAAAATATCGGCAAAAGTTTTTGTAGATTTTCCATTTGAACAGAGATAGGAAACACTTTGTGAAAAGTGGTCTTTAAGTTTAAGCTCTCTTCGCCAAATGGTTCATAACCATTGCCCTTCAATTAATTTCACGGGTCCAAAAAATGTAAATTATTTTTCAGTTTTGCCATTTTTTGAGTTGATTTTCCTCTAATGAATTTTTTCCTTTGGATCAGTTCCGTTTAGCGTGGAAAATTAAAAAAAAAATATATGTAAAATAATGAAAAATAATTAAATAAATTAATATATAAACATATATATAATAAATAAATATTTTTGATTTATAAATAAATTAATAAAAAATGGGCTTCACCTGGAAAATCGAAGGAAGATAATGAAAAAATGGGTCGTTTTCAGGTTCAGCACATTAAATTTCCCTTTCTGTTGTTAATCACAACGTTTTTCTGATCAAGTGGACTCCTATATCAGTGCACCACCATGTGCAGTCTATTAGAGTACAAGAGAATTTATTTCTTCCTTGAAGCGAAAGGAAGCTCCACCTACAACCAAGTGGAATGACCGTTTTGTTCCCAGGAAAGCGCTGGCCCAGTGGAACGTTAATGTTTCCTCCAACTTGTTGTTCTCGTACGAAAAATTCAAATGTATCCCTAAGTGTTGGGAAAACATTTTCATTCTCAGGTGTGCCCGTCCATTCGCAATCTAAGTAAATTTTCACAGGACGGTTTGGTCCTATTATCTCATAGAGGCTTGGGTAATTTACAGTTTAGTTGTTTTACTCGAAAATGATACGACATTTTGTTTCAATTTCTACACTAAATCACCCACCAAGTTTTTGGAAAATAGCCTCGTGTTGACCTGTGTTATGAAGCTAACTTTTGCCAATGGATTGGGTTCAGTTCAAGACATGTTTCCAACGTGTGTCATCATGACTAATCAAAATTTTGTTAACATGTGTTATGAAGCTAACTTTTGCCCCTGGTTTGGGTTCGCATTTTAAGACATGTTCCCGACGTGTATCATTACCAATCAAAATTTCTCCGAGTTTAAATCCACAAATTTTCAAGTTCACAAATCCTAAACAAAACCCTTTTTTATTTCATACTCCATGTAAAAATAACATTGTTCAAGTCCGAGAACTCGCCAGGGGTTCCGCTTGCCTCAACCTAATACGGTTCAACCGATTCTGTCATTAACATTTCTGACGTAGTAGAGTTTTTGAATAGTAAAAGAGCCCTTACCAACATCAGAAATAAATGGTGATCAGTCAAGCCCTGTAAATTATGGCCTTTCGTGGCATTTGCTCTTAAATGTTAGGTGACATCTTGCGCAGGCCTTGTCATGAACAAACCTGAATGAGGTGCAAAAACGACCGAAATCATACTAGATGAGTTCGTGGGGGGGGGGGCCTCCTTTTCCTCTCATCCTTCCTCTTGTTGTTTTTTTAGTCACTCCTGTACTTGTATCCGGCAGTTATATCGTCTCAATTCCTAGAACTCTACATAATTTTATTATCTATGAGCGAGCTTCGAAATAATTGTCCCTTTTCGATTTTCTCGCTGAAAAGTGTTCAGAACAAACGTCTTACCTCCTTGAGCGGGTCTTAGCAATGACTACAAGTAGAGATAAAATTCCGGAAATGGCACGAAAATAATTGAGATAAAACCTGTAAAAAAACACATCAAAACCGGACGTTTCAGGAAGAACAAGTACCACTCTCTTCCCCAGCGGGTAAAATTAAATACCGTAAAAACTAACTCCTCCCCATCTCGCCAACGCTCAACGCTAGAAAAAGCAACGATGCAACTGATGAACAATTGATTTGACACAATGATACATCGTTAAACACACTTTAAGAGAGCTGTTTCCGTAGGATGTCTGAGAAACTTGCACCTCTTAACACGCATACCTGAAATAATCATATGCCCCGCGGTAGTAATGATTCCATGCCTCGAAGCTTTCGGATGAAGGCTACCATGCCAAGGAATAACGCCGTACGAACCATCTTCTGTAATAGTTCGCGAGAAACACGATGCTGCCACTGGTTTTCTCTGTAATCAACTCCGAAGCTCAAAAAAAGCTCTCAAGTTTAGGCCAAAACAGAGGGGATATCCCACGCTATTCTGAGAGTCCACTTCTACATCAAGACAAACTCTCCATGCAAAGATAGGGAGCAAATACATTAGCAGTGATGCCGTGTTTTCAGTTTTAGAGTCCCCGAATAAAGTGGCAGCGCTGTCAATGTATTCGCTCCCTATCTTTGCATACAGAGTTTGCCTTGATGTAGAGGTCGATAGCGTGGGATATCCCCTCCATTTTGGCCTCAACTTGAGAGCTTTTTGAGCTTGGGAGTTGATTTCAGAGAAAATCAGTGGCACCATCGTGTTCCTCGCGAACTTTTACACAAAAATCAACAGTAAAATCGCAAATTCCTCACACATGCAACATCTCCATTTCTTCCGGAATACTTTCTTATCAGGGGAAATGTGTCAACATGCGAGTGTTCATACGGCGTTTTTCCTCAACACGGCAGAAGGGAGGATTACGAACGAGCGGCAAGTCGATCGGGCGGGACGTCCGTTGATTTTTCACTCTCGTTCGACATCGTTGAGTCTCGTGGAGGGTGGGGCGGGAGCCGAATGGGATGCAACCAGCAATTTAGCTTCGACCGCGCGCTCAAAGAAATAAATTCCGACTGTGTATTATTTCCCGTCTCGTTTCGGGGTTTCTTCTCCGGGGGGAGCGCGGATCGCGGAAACAAATGAGGTAGACTGATAAATTAAGCGATTGATTCGCTACCGCACTCCGCCTTCGATCGTCTGTTGTCGCGACTCGTTTCGTTCCCCGCGAAAGTTTTCGTGGAATCAAGCTGCTCGGAGTCCTCCCGCTGAACTCGACTGCCAATGTTTGATAATTCCCGTGCATTTGTTTCATTTTTTTTAAAATAATGATTTACCTTCTCCACATTGAAATTGGAATATTAAGACTAAGACTTAAGTCCTCCCGCAGAACCAACCTACCTCTCCTTCTCTATTGCTAATGATTAATAATAAAATAAATTATATATTATTCTACCTCTCCTTCTCTATTGCTAATGATTTGGTAATATGATCCAAAGATTAAAGAATAAGGTAAATGTACTTAATATTAGAAATGAAAGACTTAACATCTACACTTTTGCAGAAATTTTAGAACATGTAAATAAAGGTGATACATATTTCTTGTTGGGAACATATGAATCCTTTTTGAATCAAGAACGGCTTCATAAAGTACTAAGTGAAATTAATCGGAGTCTGAAATCGGGGAGGTTGGCATGGGTTCCTGCTGCGAAGCCAGGAAGTCGAGAAGCTGCTGATCCCGGAGGAGGGTGCGCGGCGGACTCTGCAGTTTCTCCAGCTTCTCCTTCCTTCTGCTGGACTCCCGCAGCGTCGCGATTCGGCCTCTGCAAACGTCCCTAAGGACATAACCAGTCCTTGGGTGGACCTTCAACAAATAACGGATTGGAAAATTAGCAGGAATCGATTCATAGATCGGGATAAAAGAATTAGCAAGGAGAGAATGAGGATAAGAAACTATGAAGCGAATATACGGAATGGCTGTATATGATGTGAAAGAAAACCTTCTCCGTCGCACCATCCGAAAGTTGCTAAAAATTGCGCCGCACGGTGGATTAAGTCAATGGGAGAGGTCGGACATGAAATTGTTGATTAAAGCTGCAAATTTTGATGTTTATTTCGTTACATTTTAAACTTTAAGGGATGCCCTCAGCGGGAAAATTCACGAGAAAACCAGTGGAACCACATTCAGAACCTGAAAGTTTTGTATAAGCAGAGTTGAAGGCGTGTAAAGTTTCCAAATCTTGTCTGATCTCTCCTATTGACGCGATCCATTGTGCGCCGCAGCCAAAGTGTCCAAAAATCCGAGAGCAAATGGATCCTCATTGCATGTGCCGAACCCAAACAGGTTTATGAATAACCCATCATGCACGATTACATTTACTCAACAGGTCTATGAATTCTATGATAACGCATTATGCACCAATACATGTCCTACAGATTTAAGGTCTGAATGCATTGACAAGAGCCTCGAGGCCTGCGAGATATCATTAACCTGTATGGATTCTTCGATGGCGGAACATGTTTATTAGATATCTCTCTTTTAAACCCACACATTTATTTGTATTGTTGTTCCTTGTTTCTTCAATTTAATTTTTTCTGATAGTTTGCAACACTGAAGGAGTTTGACGTTTGTTTTCTGTTTTTTCTGTTCTCAAGGGGAAGCGCTTAGTCCAGAATTCGTGGCACCTTTAAAGAACCAAACAGTGACAATCGGACGGGACGCAACTTTCGAGTGTCACATCCGCAACTTGGGCGGATACAGAGTAAGTGAACCTCTGAAATGTTGGCCTCGCTTGTTTTTGAATTTAGATGGGCAGTTTAGATATATTCAGTATGAAAAATACGATGCACCTCATACATTGACGTAGAACTGTTAATGGACCACTAGACAAGGTACAAATTTAAGCGATCTGATACATGTTTCTTAACCAGAATTTCACGTAGAAAACGATTCACACAACGAAAATTACCGAAACCAACTCCTAACAAAGATATTAACGTTTTTATTTCACATTGGTTACGAGGAATTTAAACTGCCCGCTCACAAGAAACTCAAAGCTCTACGTGAGTCAAATCGCCCACTACAACGGTTTCAGCAAGCTTTCTCGATGGAGCAATGTTCATTTCCCACCATGTGTTGTTCAAACTATTAGCAATTTGCTGTAACTGAGCCAAAGCGTCAAGATTGAGGTTGCCAGATTTTTATATTGCAGAGACTGTCATGATACCGTTTAGCGCGCGATGTGAATCACGTAGAGCATTGAGTTTTAATGAGCGGGTGGTTTGAATTCACACATCAAGAATCATCAAATATCTTAGTAAGGAGTTAATTTCGGTAATTTTCTATGTGCGCATCGTGTTCTACGTGAAATTGTGGTTAAGGAACATGTATCAGAATGCTGAAATTCGTACCTTGTCTAGTGGTCCATTGTTGATTGATATTATTCATTACTCTCATTTCATAATCAAGTTTGATATGCATATTGCACGTGTAATTCGATTCCATAATGTGATGGTATGGGATGCCAAAAGTGCTAGATTTAGCACCTTTGGCATACCATCACATTATTGACTCTCATATCAATCTATTCTTGTCTTCCTAGACTCACTCTTGTTGATTTCAACCCGCGACATTATTTACAAAGGGTATTCGTCGAATGTTATCTCTAGCGTGCAAAATTGCACATCCTTTGTTTACTGAAAGTCCTGTATCGAGGTTTGAATCTCCGCGGGAAATAATTATCACATTATCTATTTCTGATGAGTGCATTTATTCGCCGTGGACGAATCCGGAACTTCAGATATCTGACGGCGGATAAATCCGGACGTGCCCGTGCGCACACCTCCATCTTCGGGTAAGAGAATATGTTATACTGATGACGAAATGCGTGCACGCATGTCATCGGCTATTTTTCGCTAGAAATCGCTAATTACTAGTGCTTCATCTTGTGGAAGGGTCTGCTTCAGATCATTCAATTGAAGAGATTGAGCCTTCGCTCTGTATGAGTGCGGTAGTAGTGCCTCCAGTTGTTGTAATGAAAGCTTTGTAAATAATGACAAATGTTTTAAAGTAGATCTAGCTTTTGGGTCTCATTGATAAAATTAGATTTCTGATTCATCCTCCAAGAATAACATAAGTGCGGACAAAGGGAGCGGAGCACTCTCGACCCTAGGGCACGTATCACCTGGCTTCCGCACGAAGACATTTTTACATGGAAGTAGACTTGTTTTATTTTTATGTTTTTATGAGGCAGTATCTTTATGTTTAATTGTAAATCAAAGTATAAGTCTTATTTTATAATTTAAATTTAAGCTTTTTAATGACGAAATCTCATTTAAAAGTATTACTTGTGCAAATTATTTTTTTGCACCCCCCCCCCCAAAAAAAAGAAATACTGGATTCCATCGGACCCCTAGACAAATCATCTCATTGTTTCTGTCCTGAAATGCGGCTCTTCTTGGAAAGTTTGTCGGGCTGCGAAGCTGCGAATCAAACGTGGAGACCAAGTCTGAAGAGTGGGATGTCGGGAAGTTAATAGAAAAAGCGACGGGAATCCACTCATAAATCATCGAGCCGTGTTTACTTTCCCTCTCACGGCGCAATCTGACTGTGACAGTGTGTTTTGTGCCGCGGTAGGTGCGTCTGGACGGGAGCCGGTATCAGCTCCGAGGAACGTGGCTACGTGTCGCCGCCCCGGCAGCTGCGATCGCCATCCAGCACGATCCCCTCTGTTCCCGATAAAACGCATCTTCCGCCTTAGACTCCCGGAATTCTCGCCACCGGACGACAGAATCGATGCAGTCGTCTCGCTCCGCACAGGGTGTCCGGGAGGAAATACGTCGTGCTCGGCGAATGGATTTTCCCAGTCAAACACTGGAAAAGAAACACATTGGATCTAGAATCCAGACTCTTAATAACATCGACAAGAAAAAATACTCTTGATTCAATCAGATTTAAGCTCAAATCAAGACACCAGCCTCTTAATTTGAGCGGATTTCCTCTTGATTTAAGCTTAAATCTGATTGAACCAAGAGTAATTTTTCTTTTCGATGTTTTCAAGAGTCTGGACTCTAGATCCAATGTGTTTTTTCCAGTGAAGTGTTTTTTCGTCTGTTGTTATGTTTTGAATTTCTTCATCGGGTTGCTTTTTGATACTTCATGTAAACGAGTTGAATGATTGAGACCACGGCACATATCAAAGAATACAGTTAGTTACAATACGAAGTATTAGTACTGAAATTTTAACGTACATTTTAAAAATAACTTAATTAGTAATACAACTGTAAAAATGGCATTTATCTGCTGTTGTTAGATATTTAGGGATACTACAAGGTTATTCAAAAGTCACGCACCATTGGCCATGAGGGGGTTGGCCATTCGAAATGTTTGTGTTGCACCCCGCCCCCCTTTCCCCTGACGGGGTCAAAAACCAGAAAGTACTTACTAAGTAAACTAAAAAGTACTTAGAAAGTACTTACTAACTAAACTAAAATCCTATTAACTAATTAGCGTCTACATGGTATAATCCTAGAAGGTCTATCGTTCCAGGAGACAGTCACAAGTCGTTGTCATTCCCTGTGGTGTCGGAAAAGGAAGGATTCACATCCTGATAAATCACCTCATTTTTGTGAAAAGGCGAATATGTTGTTCGCCTATTGACAATAGAAGCTGGTTGTTTTTTGATTTTGTTAGGGAAACACGACCTGTACCCAAATATGCACAAAAGTAAAAGCAAGCCAAGAATCACAATGTCTTTCCATTCAAGAGTGCTGAAGTAAGAAGCAACACAATCCAAGAGTAATACCACTTTGGTTTTACCATCCAAGACAAGTAATACAGACTTATTTTGAGTTTCTGAGCAGAAAGCGTCCATCAGTTTCGGGTAAAAGTAGGCTCCCATTCCTCCATTAGAAACAGCTACCGTTTTTGCGCATTTCGCCATAGACTGCTCCCAATTCATTTCCATAAGTTTGCCCCATTTCCAATAAGATTGCCCGAGTATTCCAAAATTCACTTTGTTTAGTTTGTAGTGCAACGACCCATCATTTAGGCTAACAAATTCCTTGTTTAGAATGGAAATTGACTTTCCGTCACTGATCCACCACACCAATTGCCAAGATCGTTCCACTTCGCTTCCGCATTCAGACAATTTGATTCCATTCACTGAGCAGTATCCTTCAGATGCTACCAGGTCTCTTCCAGTTCCCAAAGTTAAGGAGTCGTAAGATATAGTTCTAGTACCTTCTCCGACTACATATTCACATCTGGTATTAAAAGTTACTTCGGGTTCTTCAATGTAATTTATCTGGATTGAGAGGTCTTGTGAAAATGAAACCCATTCCAACCTTTTTGCATCTGTGCAATCTGTCCAAGATTTGTTATAGGATTGCAATCCAAGAGGGCATTTAACTTTTATCTTGAAAAAATCCGATGGTCTGACCTTTGACGTCTTGTCATTCCAAACCCATGCACAGGCGCTAGTAGCTACTAGCATTAAAAAGAGTTGGCTCATCATTTTGTTAAACCAACACAGAAATCCAAGAAGCTTCAGCTATCAACAAATTCCACCGTCTATGTGTGTGATTGAAAAAAATCTCAATATGAGGGAAAACGTCACAACCCGCAAATCGATATCTTAATCAGAACTAAAGTTTTGGTCAGTGGTGCGTGACTTTTGAATAACCCTGTATATTAAACGCCCTGGCCGATAAGCAATTCCGTAGTGAATTTATGATTTGGATCTGGATTTATTTGCACCGGGCGAACAAATCAGCAAATACGTGTCACTTCTTCGTTTCATGAAATTTTCCCCAAGGAAGCATTTTGCCTGCCGCAACACTCGTCAAAGTTCTAATTTTCCCTTTAAAATTTGTCGATAAATCTTGATCGATGAGTCCAAAGCAAGGACCGTGTACAATAAGCTCTTTGTGAA